CTGTGTATGTTGTTGTTCTAAGCCGTCTTGGGAGTTGGGACCCTTTGGGGAGCAATGTAGGGTACAAATGATTAAATAAATTCATTAGTCTTCATGGGTTCTATTAATCTGTGATGAGCACAAACATGATTACTCATTGTGATCATTATGTATGGTCCCCAAGGTTGACAACTCCAGGTAGGGAGATTCCTGGAGATTTGGGGGTGGAGCTTCCAGGGGAACTGATCTCTGTAGTTTGGGGGCCAGTTGCAATTCTGGGAAAACAACAGGCCTTGACTGACAATCGTAGCAGTCACCCTCCCGTCATGCTCAAACCCTGATTGAACAGTACTAAGCAAGCCCATGTCAACATTTAATAGAACACGTAATAGGGTTTAGAACCTTCAAGTATTGGTTCTGGCTCAGTGAGAAATGCCTGTGCTTTTGCAATCTACCCCACTGAAGTGCAACATTAAGAAAATCATTCGAGTTAAGTTATGAACAAAGTTCTGAAAGGAATCAGAAAACAGCCTTTCCATCTCTCAAGGATGGAACACGTTCTGCTTGACGATCATATTCCATACCATCCTATGAAGCCAATAATTGGTTAGAGTTCTGGAGTGGAACACAGATTTATGCTCACAACTAACTTACACTGATAGAAATGACTGCATCAGTTTACCTTGGGAACAAACAAAAAAACCCCACTGCGCGCAGTAGATGGCAAGGAATGTGTCAGTCCCACACACCCCGCCCCCAACGGTCCCGGCCGCCACCGCCAGCCTTGCTGCTCCACTGCCGAGCCCCATGAGGGGCCTGGCGGTGGACCTGCAAGGCCGGCGGGAGTGCAAGGAAGCCCCGCGAAGGCCCTCCCTGGCCCCAGGCAGGCAGGGGTGGGGAGAGGCAGGGAGGAAGCAACTTACCCTCCCTCTTCTCCTGCCTCCTCCTGGCTGAATGAGGGCCAGAAGCGGGGCGGCCGGAAGCCGGGGGCGGGGCTTCGTCATGTGCCCTGCGCCCCCCCGTACCTCACCCGGGGGAACTGCGATCCCCCCCGAAATGACCTCTTCTGCTTTCTACTATTCTTGAGTTCTAATGTACAGAGTGCTTTCAATGTAATCCAAAATATCTGGGTGGGGGATAGGCTCCTTATCACCACCGCCCTAAGAAAGCTCACAGGCAAACGCTTGACAATAGAAAGAGAATAATGGGAGGAAGAAAATCCAGATGAGAGCAGCAAAGTGAGTAAGGGATGTAAGCTAATGAAATGGCACATGCCTTGCTTCATTTGGGGGCAAAGAATCTGAGAGTAAGCAAGAGTTTTGCAGAAAAGCCAGCTTTTCCCATTATTTGTATTACATTCTTGTATTTGCTTTCATTGAGCGTTATTAATCAGAATGACCCAACAATCAAGCAGAGAAGTAAATCTCTATATTTTGGCCGCTTCCTCTTACTACACTTTGCAGAGGCCTCCTACTCCAACACCCAGTTATGCCCATTCTGTGCACAGACAAATGTGTGCGCTTCAGTCCTGAAGTCAACAGAGCATAACTATCCTTAATTGTAGCCTAAATCGACTCAGCTCTTCTTGCAAGCAGAAACAGGCAACCTGAATAATGCTTTCCTTCTCAGGCAAGAGTGGGTGGGGGAATAAGAATGTTCACCCCTTAGAAAATGGGCCACTTATAAGTTGCATTTACCTTTTTTTCCTCTCATTGTCAGCTCAACTTTTGACTTGGGAATCAGTCATAAAAAATGCCAAGTAAAAAAACCAAAAAACACCCCCATAAAATTCAATGGAGAGGCAGTTCAAGTACAAACATTCCCTCTCTACAGCTTATGCTCATGTGCCCTCAACCCAACCCCACCCCACACTTCCCTTTCTTTTCACAAAGGGTGCTCATGAGAATGACATGCAGACATGGAAGAAATGCAGACTGCGGAATGTCTCCGTGGTGGCACGAGGGATTGTCAATTAAATCAATTACAAATTAGACTGGGGAGGTGGAGATGAGAAACAGTGTGGAATCTGAGAGAGAGAGTGGAGAGAAGGTCCTCGGTGTTGATGAGATACTGAAGGTGGGCTGCAGACTGGAGATCAGGAAGATCTCCAACAACAGTTTATTGGGAGAGAGCAGACAGGCTGGTGAGAATTCCTGTTTTTTCCACATGACAATCTGTGCAAAGGCTCCATTCAGGTACATTCTCTCCCTCTCTACTGCCTCTGCTCACGTCCGTCCCCCCCCCAATTCCCTTTCTCCTCACAGAGGGTGCTCAGGGGAATAGCTGTACAGATCTGGTTACCAAGCAAGTAGGGAAGGATATTCTGCAGAGACAGATACGATGCTAAGACAAAAGGAAACGTGTGTTGTTCATATCTTGGAGCTAAACAGTGTTTTGTCCACATAAACACTGCCACCATTTGATTGCAGAGGAGCCTCAATGCACCCCTTCACGTTTATAGGAATGCCTAAAATAGCCTTGCTGCTCTTCCCTCTTGCCTCAAAGGACTTATTTTCTCCATAGGAAAGGGTTATTGGATTAGTCCAGCAAAGTGACGTCAATGAAGACAATAAACCCTTCTTGGAGAGATTTTAATGATCTTCAAATTGTAAAAATGCTCCCCATACAGCTTCTGTATTCTGAACGAGAGAGAAAGAGAGGGAGAGAGATTCAAGGGGCAATTAAAAACCCACTAGACACCTGTATTTGCAAGTGTTCGTTAGAACACTCCCAAGTGACTGTGCTTAGGGTCACAACCTCTCACCTCAACCCTAACCATCTTTACTTGGAAGTAAATCCCATTCATTTCAACTGGATTTATTTCCAAGTACCACATGCATAAGCCTTCAAGGCTAGCATGGCAATATAGCTGCTTATCTCCATAAATTAAAGGAAGTCCTGATGCAAAGATTAAATGGCAGAGCTAAAACTGAAAAGGTTTATCGTAAATACCCTGTGCAAATTAAAGGAGAAAGGAACCAATCAGAGGATAGTTTTCAATCTCTTTGCACTTTGACATTGGAAATGAATATTGGGCTCAGATATAGGTGGTAACGAGTACCCCAGGAGACCTCCCTGTCCTATCCCCCACTTGGGAGTTTTGATCAGACACCCCACTTTCTTCACTGATCCAAAAAGGTAATTCCCTTCTCTAGCCGAACCCTCGCAATAAAGGTTCCAAGGAAGAAACCCTTTGTCGTGTTTTTCCCTGCTGGGAAGTAAACCTGATCTTTCTTCAGGCAGGGAGATGTTCTGAAGATAAAGATTTTAGACAACAAGAAGCTGTGTTTTCCTTTTGCTTTCTGTTTTTGGTACTTTTCATCCTTTTATGGATTTCCCTGGGTGTTTAGTTGTGTGCTCACTGAAAAATAAAGTTGTGTAATTTATACTCTGGCTTTCAACTACTTGTTGCATCATCCTTCCCTTGTCTGCAGCCATTTTACATTACTTCACCATATCAACCTGAAGAATAGGAAGGCTGGCCCTTTTATTCACACAAGCATAGACTCGCGTTCAGGGGGATGTAATATGGGCTGAGCTGAAGCAGTCTGTCAAATAAAGTTTAGGAACTGTCCTAGATGGTGGCGGAAGAAAACTATCCATGGTGGTCCCGGTCACACGGGAGGATTTGCCCCGCAAGAGGGATGGATCAGGGGCGCATCAAGTGGGCACGATCACACCGCAACATCTGGGAAGCGGCGCGCACCTGTCCCTTCCGGGTGAAACGGCGCATTAAAAAAAAACACCTAGAAAACACTACTACCTACCTGAAAATCCGCTGCAGGGATGGCCGTCTGATCGCCCGCGCGCCCGTCTCTCCCACAGCATGCGAGGTCCTGCCGAACTGCGCATGCACACACATGCGCAGCAAGCTTGCCTCGCTCTCCAGTCCGTGGCTTCCTCTGACCGTGGCGGGGAGGGATCTGTCTGATCCCACCGCCGCGCGTCTCTTTTGGTGCGGCTCAGAAAAACTGCACTTTGGCCGCGCCTATTTCCCCCAGTGTGACCAGGGCCGGTGTATCTCTGTGGGTTCAGAAGCACTAGGCATGAAGAGAAAGCACAGCTGGAGCTAGGGAAACACTGCAATCTGTTACATGGTATGTAGTACCTAGGACATCCATTATAACAACCCCCTGAATTTATCTGAATGTGGATCTTCTGATACAGCTGCTACCTTTCATGCATGGTGAGGAGGACAGGAATGGGGAAGGCAGTGTGCCAGGCCAAGGTCTATGATGCTTTCACACACACTAAATAACACACTTTCAATCCACTTTCAGTGCACTTTGCAACTGGATTTTACAGTGTGAAATGGCAAAATCCACTTGCAAATGGTTGCCAAAGTGGGTTGAAACTGGATTATTTCACATGTGTGAAAGCGAAATCTCTTATCTCATTGTGCACAAGAGGTTTGATGGAGGAGGTAGAAAAGCAGAATCTATGTAGATTCAAAGAGCTACATTATCTGTGAACCTTCTGTTGAGAAATCAATGTGTGCTTTCAGGAAAATAATGTCTTCTATAAAGGTAAAGGTTCCCTTGCTCGAAAGCCAGTCGAATCCGACTCTAGGATTACAGTGCTCATCCCCGTTTCAAAGCTGAAGAGCCAGCGCTGTCCGAAGACGTTTCCGTGGTCATGTGGCCGGCATGACTAAACACCAAGGCGCACGGAACGCTGTTACCTTCCCACCAAAGTGGTACCTATTTATCTACTTGCGATTTCTTGCTTTCGAACTGCTAGGTTGGCAGGAGCTGGAACTAGAGATGGGAGCTCACTCCATCATGCGGCACCCGGGTCTCGAACTGCTGAACTACTGACCTTCCACAGCCTGCAGTTCAGCGTCTTAACCACTAGAGCCACCGCAGCTCCTTAATGTCTTCTATAGTTGGAGGAAAAAGATGTGACAGGAAGTCAAGTTTAGAGGGAAACCTGCTGAAGTATTTACCACAAAATATCAGAATACAGCAGAAAACTGTTAGAGAAAAAAGGGGGGTCTCTATGATTCAATAAATGTTAGTTACCATAGTGATTTCTCCACAATTTTGGTCCTGAAAACTTCTTCCTGGTCCAGGTTTACAGTACAGTAGCAATCTCTCATCTTGTTTGGCCCTGGATAGGTAGGAAGGTTTTTGGCTTCTCCTAAAGACAAAGCAGAAGTCAAAATTATAAACTCATTAAGTCAAACTTAATTCATGAATAAATTTTGGAGTTAACAGTTTTCTAACTTCTGAAAGCTAGGCATCAAGTTTTCTTAATTCATACTTGCTGTTGTTTTTATTGAATGTACCATCACCATATGAGGTAAGAGCTCTATTCAGATCCCTGATAATAATTCAGATTAGTGTTTCCACACACACACCACGCCCCCACACACAGAGCCCAGAAAAAAGGCCTCCACATGATCAGATGTTTGGATAGAGGCACTGGCTCATTCTGTGGGGTGGAAGGGAGAGAGCCTACCCCTCCTTCCACCATGTGAAATTATCAGGAAATGCATGAACAAGAACACATACGATATTTGTAAATTTGGTTCATTTACTTTAGACATTTTTTTTGTTTGCATTGCTTTCTAGTCCTGATATCCTAGTCCTACTCTATTGTTTATTGAAGGCCCTTGCTCTCTAATTGAATCGCTATCCATGTATTGTAATCCACCTAGGGTTGCCAGCTCCCAGTTCGGGGCAGGGGATCCCCCGGTTTCGGGGGCTTCCCTCCACTGCAGACCAGCTGGCAGATGGGAGAAACCCCTCCCTTAAATAGGAACATGATGACGTCAACCGGAATTGACATCATCATGTCAGGGACGTCAGGGGGGATGCTGTATGCAAACTCTATGGTTTTGAGGGTGAAAAAACCATAGAGTTTAGCCCAAATAACAGAGCATCCCCACACAACATCCCCAATGCAATGATGTCACTTTTGGGTGACATCATCACATCGGGGACATTGCATGACATCCCTGCCCACCCCAGAATGCACTCCAAATCCCCCCGCCAGCGGAATGAGGAGACCTGGGAACCCTCTGCCTCAAGTCTCAATGAGAAAAGTGGCTTAATAATAAAAAATAATAATAATAGTACAGTAAGTATTGAACAAAGACACCACACACAGGTTTAAGCTTTGCAACATTTGTTCTTACTAAGAAACAAACAAAATCCTAAAATGACGCATTTTATAATAGAACGGAAGAGCTAGAGAAATGTTAACCAGTGAAGCAATTTTTAAAATATCATATTTGATTTCCAGTACAGTATTAGGCATATAATTTAAAATGTCACCCAGGCTTTAATATGTAACCTCATCCTTTGTTTGTTAATGGCCAATATTAGAATGTCAGGGTTTCTTTGTACATTATTTTACAGCATGGGAGCTGCTCTATCACCTCTTCCAGAAAATGGGGTTATGTCCCAAGAGATGGTACTATGCCACGGACTCTTCACACGTGACCCCCAACCTAAGGTTTCTAGCATTCTCTTCACAGTATGAGGGAAACCACATGGCAATGGCTCCAATGCCCTAAAGGTAACATCAGAAGATGCACTAATCTACTTACTACCATAGCCATGAGACCAAATATCTAGTTCTGGGGGGGTCAAACATACAGCCCGCGGAATGGAGTTGGACTGCCCAGTGCTTTAATCTGGCCCACAGCTCTCTTCTCTCCCTCCTCTCTGCCCCCACCTGTCCTCACCCTTCCAAGCTGCCTCTGAATGTAGAGAGCAGAGGGCAGGGCTGCTGAACTTCCCTTGTCTTCGCTGACTTCTCCTGTGCCCACAAGGGTCTGCTAGAGTGGTTTATTTGCTGAAGTTTGCTGGCTCCTTCACAAGCCCAACAAACCTCCCAGGGGGGTTCATGTGGGCAGACATTCTGGAGCTAGCATGGGGACTGGCATCTGGCTGGCAGCTATTAAACCCAACCAGTTTTATGGCTGCTGGCCAATTAATCCTAATTGGTGGGTCCACCCGTCAGTTAGGCTAAGATGTCCGGCAGCCATTTAACCCATCCATTTCGCGCCCCTCCTTGCAAGATAACTGAGGAGGGATTTAAATCCCTTCTCAGTTGACTCGCTGAGTCATGCCACCACCACACTGGGACCCAGCAAGTGAACTGGGAAGGGATTTAAATTTCTTCTCAGTTCATCTGTGAGTCGTGCTGCAGCTTGCAAAAGCCATTTAAAGGGAACCCCTTAAATGGCTTTTGCGAGTGTGCTCCATCATGAACCACGAACCTCAAACCAGTTCATGAAGTGGAGGAATTTTGTCTTGATTCGTGGGGTCTCATGAACCATGAACCTCCATTTTCCCAGTTCATGCCCATCCCTAGTAGACACATCCTCATGGATGAGGTAGTGCCAGGTAGTGAAGAGCTTTAAAATACCAGTACCTTAAATGAAGTTGGTATCAGTAATGGCCAGTAAACGGTTAAAGTTTTAACTTGGTCAAAGAACCTTGAGTGACAGGCGATTCATACGGAATTCTACAGCTGAGAGTGGCAGTTAGGAGTGACAGTTAAGCATGACAGTTGAGAATGAAGGGGAGTTAAGCAGAGGGAGAGGATAAAGAAGGATCCTGAGTTAAGGACATGGGATGAGTGGCCCTTCCCTGAGAAAAATAGCTCCTAGTAAAGGGGGAAATTATTCCTATCAAGTGGTTAAGAAGGTACACTGGAACTTGTGTGAATGTTCCTGCCTTCACCAACTTAATTATTTTTGAGACAAAGAAGCTTATGCTTGTTTATTTCAGCAGAGACTAACAAGAAAACTTCCTCCTCAGTTTTAAAGAACTGTAATTAAACAGCTACTTGTTTGTGACAAACTATCTGTTTATATTTATACAAAGTTACCTCATTCCTGTTGCCGGTTCACCTTCAAAGTCCTAAACCTGACACCTACCTGACCATTTCCCTTCAAAAGTGAAATAAAACAGTTTCCTTCCTTCTTATGCAATTCAGTGACTGAAGACACACTGAGTCTTGATCTCTTGCCTACGAATGTGGATATCAGGTCATCTATGCTTTGCTGAGAATGCAGAAGTCTTAAGTGTCTGAGATGTCCACAAGGAGAGCGGGAGCTTGAAACCATAAGAACTTCTAAGGTTCAGCCCCATTAAGACAAACCAGAGTCTGTTGTTAAATCTGAACAGAAACAGAATCTTCCTGATAGGGTTGCTAGCTCCAAGTTGGGGAACACCTGGAGATTTGGGGGGTGGAGCCTGAGGACAGCAATGTTTGGAGAGGGGAGGGACTTCAATAGGGTATAATGCCATTGAGTCCACCATCCAAAGCAGCCATTTTCTCCAGGTGAACTGACCTCTGTCGTCTGGAAATTAGTTGTAATCCCCGGAGATATCCAGCCACCACCTGGAGTTTAGCAACTCTACTTCCTGAGGAAAATATCACTTCCAAACTAAAGCTGTAAAAAAAAGCCAGCAAATATCTCCAAATGACGCTTATTTCAACTTTTACTTTACGGTTTTACTCAAGACTGTTTCCCCAAAATATTTAAATTAGCCAAATCCAAATGTGCCGTCGCAGATTAATGTTAAGACTATTATACGGAAATCTTTTATTGCATTGAAGCCTGAAACCAGAATAACTCTGAAAAAGACCACTTTCTAAGAAACCAGTAAGTAAGAAAGGAAGTACATGTCATCTTGAGAGATGAAACACTCTTTTCAGTAATGTCTGAGAACAGGATACTTATGCAATGAGATCACTGAAAGCTCAGACTGTTTCTACTTCCACTGACTATTGTGATTATCTCAAATTAAGAAGGCTTCACTGCAAAACAAGAACTTCTTAAGGTCGTAGGTAGAGTCATTAGAGGTACTACATTTGTGTTGTGTATTGCAATCCCCCATACACACTTATCTGTAATATTAGTAGTGTTGACTCCAGTCCTCCTCTTGCATTGATGATATAATACTAATACCCATTCAGCTATTGGGTATAGCCATCAAATGCCTTGCACTAAGATTTCCTTGAGCAGACAGGCCAGAACGCTTGTTCCACATTTACTAGGGTTTGCCAGCCTCCATGAGAGGCCTGAAGTTCTCCTGGAATTACAACTGATCTGACAACCCCTAGAGAAAATGGCTGTAAGTAAGATCTAAGTGAAAAAATAAGAATTTTGATAACTGATAAACGGGGAGTAATAAATATTGTTCAATGAATTCATCAACTAGCATATAAAAATCAAAGCTCCGTTTCCCATATGGGAATTGCACCTTTCTGAGTCTCAGAATTTAAGAACATGTCAGTTGAAAACCTAGAGTGGAGGCTGTTGAATCAGTATGCAGATGGCTACACATGACCTGGTTTAGAAATCTAAAACTGCCTGCCTTTTAATAGTTAGAGGCAAGTGAGTGTGCAGGTGCGCGTGCACACACACACACAGACACACAAAGTATGGATTTTAGCCCTATTTAATATCTAGAAATGAGGCAACACGGATAATCCTAGTTAAAAGAAATTCAGTAATTTTAATCATAATCATTTTTAAATGAACCCGTTTCAATCACAGCTGATTAGATTTTGATGAGGAGGTAAATCAGTTTGAGCCGAAAAGAAAACTGGGGCTGAGCAGGGTTAGAGAGAAGAAGAGTGGAAGATATTCATGACAATGTGCATAGTATTATTTTAAATGAAGCATTTTCTTAGGCTGCAGAGTCCCATTGGGTGGGGGATGTATCCCACAACACAAGTAGATTTGTATATTTTATACTATTTAGGCAGCATAGAAATCCAGTCCTCCTTTGAATTTGGTTGCCTGACCCCACCTCCTCCATGCCATCGCTCACATCCCTTCACATTCCAAAGGAAGGATCTGTACATAACAAATCACAAACCAAAATCTAGTATCCTGCACAACAGTCTTCTTCAGAAAAATTCACATGGACTTTTCCCCCCCACTTGGACATATTTTCAACAGATTCACAGCATGCTCACTTAGGGCCCATCTCTTAAAGAAGCACTAAACTCTGGAAATATCATATACCACTCTTTGCTTCCACACTAGCCATTCACTCTGGAACCACAGGGGTGCCAAATCTGGGTTGGGAGATTTGGGAGTGGAGCTTGGGGGGGACCTCCATGGGGTATAATACCATATTCATCCTCCAAAGGAGCCATTTTCTTCAGGA